TATACATATTTACATCTGAACTGCAGTGGTTCCTGTAGGATAAACACTGGACTACCAACCACAGGTTGACAGTTGGAGCCCACCAGCCACTCCTCAGGAGAAAGATGAGGCTTTTTGCTCCTATAATGATTTATAGCCTTGGAAACCCTACACAGGGGGGCTGTGAGTCAGAACCAACTTGGTGGCACTTAATAACAACAACATATTTATATATAAATTATCTGACTCCTGCCTCTAGAAAGCAAAGTTCCCAGGTAGGTGTACTTATCTATTATTTCTCCATTCAATGGTCTTGGCACTCAAACTTATGGTCAAGTAAATTGACCATAAATGTGATGGCTTATTTCTCAACTCTCAATTCTATTACATTGATCTCTTGTCTAACCTTAAGCCAATAACCACACTTATTATTTTTTTTCTTAAGATGGTATTTTACTGTGTTTTTGGTGAAAGTTTACACAGCAAATTAGGTTACCATTTGACCATTTCTAGATAGATTGTTCTGCAGCATTGCTTATATTTTCCACAATGTCTCATTTTGAGTTAATTTTTCTTAATCAAGTTCAGATTGTTCCATTCCCAGTTCTCTAGTTTGCCTGCTTTCTTCTCATCTTTGCTTTAGAGTCATTGCTGACCTTTTGCTAGCATCATACTGTCTTGAAGGTAACTCACAGCTGGGTCCCAAACACCTAGGACAGTGTCTGGCACATTGCAGGTGTTCAATAAATACTTGTGGGTTGAACGAATGTGCCAAGCTGCAGCTTAGTGCCTGGGCGTAACATCATTTGCCCAGAGCTTTATTCTAAAGGATTGTTTTTGGGTGTTTTTTGTTTTTTTTTTAATATAAAGCAAATTATTCTCTATTTTCTGAGTGATGCTCTTTGTGTAGTACTAGAGAGAAATAGCTGAAACTACATCCTCTAATCTCCTAATTCTGGAGTCTGGGCCAGTTGCTCTAAAACTCATTTTCCCTTAATACCACTGAGATCTTCAATTTACTGGGAGGCTCATGCATTCACAGCTGTATTGTCCTGTGAGGGCTATCCCTAGGAGGACTTGTTGACCCTCCTGTGAACAAAGTGGACTGAAACAGCAAGGGATTTTTCTAAATCTGCCCCACACCTGGTTACTGTGCTACAAACCAGATATTGACAAGAAATAGACGCTTCCTCCTCTGAGATTCAGAATGAAGGCAATCAGAAAGGGATCCTGTCTCAAGATACTACTCACAAGCTTGGCTTGCTCTATTGCATTGATCTCTGTCTATCCTTGAGACAGTATCACACTTTCTTTTTAAAATAGTATTTTACTGTGTTTTTGGTGAAAGTTTACATAGATAGCAAAGTAGGTTCCCTAATTCGAGCCTTACCCATTTCCTGCCTTCTGAGCCACCTCCTGAGAGCACCATCATACAAGACAAAGTTCTAGATACTCAGAGTTCCCCATCCCCTGCAGGTCCCCATTGGCCCCATTGTACACACAAGGAACAGGCAGTAACCGAAGCACAGACCTAGGAATGAATACCCAGTTCCCCAACACTGTAGGTACTACTTGCTACTTCACACCTGTGCCTCTCCCAAGGCACACATGTTTGCGCTTGTGTAGAGACAGTGGAAATGCCCTGTCTAGGGTCCCCTCCACCACCACTAGCACCACCACCCACCCCACATCCCCCTTTCAAGGGATGCTGGGAAACTGTGGGGTAGAGTAGGAGGATGAAAAGACAGGAAAAAGCAAGTTTGTTTCTAGTGTTATGCGCACAGGGTGGCAGGATCTACCTGCTGAGTGTTCCCTGAAGGTCCCCAAGGAAACCATTAATGTGTGCGTCTCTCGGGTTCTACGTGTGGTGATTGGAGTGGGGGAGGGGAGGTGCACTCAGAGGAGGGGGACAGGTATCTTTCCAGGTTTCAGGATTATGTTGCCCAGGGCTGCAGCTCACATAAATCAGTGGTGGTGATTGGATAGATATCAAGGTGAGCAGTAAGAGCTTGTCATCAAGGAGTGTCTCAGGGTTATACTAGGTGAATTTAGGATAGGGAGGAGAGGAGTTGTGTTGGGAGGGAGGGGCTTGCAAGGCGTTGAGACAGTCAGCGGAGATAGGGATGTGAGGAGGGGGCGTGGGCTATGTTAGCCTCCAGGGCTGGCTTGACAGGGTTGCTATGAGTCGGAACCAATTCAACAGGCACTTAACATCTACAAGAGGGATCCTTAGGCTTGGAGAGGTGGCCCGCGGTTCCAGAGGTGGTCCAGAATAGACTTTCTCCGGGTACCCACACTGCAGAGAGAGTTTTCTGTGGGGGAAGTGGGGCGGGGGGGAAGAGTTGACACCCGGGACCTTGAGTGAAGGTGCTGGGGAATCTCAGAAAACCCGAGAATGTGGGTTCGGGTCACGGGTGGAGAGAAGGCGTTCCCCTTTGTGTATAGTGGTCTCTTCTTGAGACCGGGAAGGAGGGAAGCAACTCCAAACGCAGTGGGAAGCTGGCGTAGGTTATTCCATGGGATAGGTTGGGGCTTGGAACTCAACAAACGGGGGGGAGGGGGGTGTCACTCGGAGGGGAAGGTTCTCCTTGGAGCCGTTGGGCTCCTAAACTGGGACACTCAGAGGCTTGGGGAGGGGCGGTGAGCACCTGGAACCCCGGGCTTCCCGAATTCAGACTGGAGTCTGAGGAGGACTGACAGCCGTCAACCTAGCCAGGGAATGAAATAGAAGAGACGCCTTACACTAGGAGATGGGTTGGAGGCAAACTGGGACCCCAGGCTTGGGGTCAATAGTCCGCCCATAACTGTGGGTTGAAGGGATTTGAGGAGAGTTAAGAAGGGGCTTCCGTTCTGGCCAGAAAGGGCTGAGGAGAGATTGGGGAACCCGAGCTGGTTTCCTATTAGGGTGTTGATGGAAAAGGCTCTCTACTCAGGACGTGAGGCACTGAGAGGGTTCCCAAAACGGATATAGGACTCTGGGAATAAACTAAGGACCGCTGAGAGGGATCCCTAAATTAGGTTCGGAGGAAATTAGGGGCTCTGAGGGTAGTTTCTGACTCAGGACTGGGGAAGTGGAGGGAATTTCATCAGTTGAGAACGTAAGGGGATTTGCGGACACTGGGGTTTGTTCCCACCACCCCAACCCAGGGAGATTGAGGGTCTCTTAAATTCTGAATAGTGGGACTACGAGGGAGCACAAGAGGGGGTCCCCGATCAGGAACCGAGCTACCTTGAAGGCACCGGGAAGCGCTTCATTCCGGGAGGGCGTTCCCGCGGCCCGGCCCCTGCGCTGGGATTGGGGGTGCGGCCGCGCCCCGGCCCCGGCCCGCCTCGGGATTCGGGGTCTCTCTCA